TCTCCTCGATTTCCCTTTGGATGAATTCTTCGCAGCAGGCAAAGAGTGGATTTCTGATACTGTGATCAGGTCGATATCCCACTAAATCAGTATATCCAAGAGTTTAGCGCTTTACCTCGAAAAGGAAACCCCGACAGGATAGCGAACGTATTGCGAGTGCCTTATCATCACTAGTGGCCGATTATTGATTAATGACAGTGGCGGGGCTCGCTCCAACCCATCTGCGCTATCAATCGTGTGCGCTCTACGTAGAGATTTTCATACACTGTGATTGGATGGTTGACAAAGTGGGGGGTTGAGCAGTGCAAACTGAGACTGGTAACGCATCCTACGTCATCAATGGAAAAGATATATTGAAAAGGCGTTTTCCGTCTCACTTTTGTCCCTACTTACCGTCTTCGGTAACGGTGTAAAATGAAAAGTGCAAAGGAAAACAGAACGATGGCTGAGCTGACAGTGTTATTAGTGTGTACTGTTCCGATGGTTTCTTTCACCTTCGATCTGTATCATCAATAAATGAAGAAATTTTCAGTTTTTTTTCCAATCGTGCCGTTCTCATTGCCTACCGTAGTCACGTATCTGACCCTCACCGAGATAGATATACACACATCCATGCGAGAACGCACGATGATATCTATGCGTATTAACCTCCACGCCTTTTTATGTCGTTAGTATTGTTTCCATTAATAAAAACCATAGATTTTTTTTCTCCTGTAACTGAGCTGTTCAAGCCAATGTTTGGGAATGATTTCAAGAATTATGGTGAGTGCTGCTCTGCCGCTTCCGGCTCACTGATCATTTCTTCACGTCATCCAATGCTGATACCATCTAACAGTGGAAAAAATGAAAAAAAACGGTGTCAATTTGGAACTCGTAATAGGAAATAGCCTTTGAGTTTCGGTGGGAGGGGCAACTAGGGAGGCGTCAGAACTGCCACTTACGAGGGTCGCAGCGTCTTCATTACGAGGCACATGTAGTGAACTCCTGTCTGCATACCGGGCAATTTTGCGAGGTTTTGTAAACCCTTGTCAAGCGGCGAGGTGGTACGATTTTGTTTTTATGACCATAATCTCCTCTCTATATATAGTCGAAATAAGCTAGGAAGGGTAAGGGACGATGCGAAGAAGTGACTATTATTTAGGGAGAGATGAAGTTTTTTCTCAAGGTTTCAAAATGTTTTCTCAAAATTTCAAAACCTTTTTGCTTTGATGATTTGGTTCACCCACCCTAGAGCTCTTTCCTTCTGGACTTGGGCAAAAATCTTCACCCTGCACCGACTGCCGTCCAGCTTTAAAAAAACAGGCGTTGATAGGAAATTACACGATTCTCCCCTCATTAGCGGATTTGCGCCATCAACGGTTGAAGACAGTACTCGCGCTAGAGCAATTCCTAAGCGTCCTTTCTTGTACGGGTGGTCTGGTCTCAGCCTCTAAGGTTGTCCCACTTTCGCGGCTTCACAGGAAGTAACGAAGACGTCGCGACCTTTAGAAGTGACAGTTCTGACACCTCCCTAGTTGCCCCGCAGACTGAAACTCAAAGGATATTTTCTGTCACGAGTTCAGTTTTTGCACAGTGTTTTTCGTTTTCTTTTTTTTCTTTAATGATAGATGGAATTAGCATTGGATGACGTGAAGAAACGATCAGTGGCCAAACGCAGCAGAATATCACGAGTGAGGCTAACAGGGTCCTTACTTTTGGTGTTGTCCACAATTTTTTTTCTTTTTATTCTTCCCTGGGGAGTCATTTAGCGACTGTAGGACTACTCTCTTCTCAACAGGCAACTGGGATTTGTTCGTTGAGTAAAAAACTCATGCGTAAGTTTATTACGTATGCATGAGGCATACGTGAGACGGCTCCATGAAATCATTATGAAAGTTCTAATAGAGCAAGAGCACACTGGCACCCAAAAATGACATTAATTGCCAATAACAGTAATTAACCAACAACCTCTTACGTCAACCTTCCTTGATAATAGGAATGAGCGCTGAATCCGTTAATACCTTAACAGTGTCTTGGAAATATTAGGTTGGCGGGAAAGTTCTGTCACATTTTTTCAAACTAGGCTTTCTTTTTATAGAGAGGAGTGTAAGATCAAAATTGTACAGCAATGTAACTGCGGGGTCCTTGCCACTGTTTGAGCACCTCATGGATGCCATCGCTTCACTATGCAGGGAGACACGACGCAAAGTTGGACACCATCTCAACCTCGACTTGAACTTGGGTTATGGAGGTTTTCTCGTCCGCATAACGATCGATTACGGAAGGCAACTTGCTATTAGAAGGGGCGATGTCTGTGCTACACAATTGCAAGGGGAGAGAGATCAAGCTCCATTGCATGAGGTACGGCTCGAACTTTTTTGGACCAAGTGCGTTGCACTATCTTGGTGAGGGCCGGCTGTGCGGACAAATTTTTCCCTCTGATCCACGATACGCCTTAGATCTCGTAGCTGGCTTTCTCGCCTTGACCAAGGAAGCAGCTTCTTCATCCAGCAGTTTCCCGACCGGGGGCATCGTGCTTATTCAGCTCCATCAATTTGGCATCTGCAGCTAACACGCTGGCGTCAGGGTGGTGGGTGAAATAGTTTGTGGAAGTTGTTGGATGGGTCGGGGCTGATGGTAGCGGATAAAATCCTTGTGCATATTGCAGAAGAAGGAGCAAGAGGCAAGCGAGTGGTACTAACAGAGAGACCACTCCTTGTTGTATAAGAGCTTACATTACCGGTTACCACTCTTGGTAATGGGCAAGTAATTTGAGTTCGGAAAAGAGTGACAGAACTTTCCCGCCAACCTAATACGTCTAAACCAAGCTCGTGACAGGATGGCAGGTATAGTTTCTGCTGGGTGTAAAAAAACCCGCTGCCAGCTTTGAGGGTGAAGCTTTTAATAAAAAATGGTGAAAGTTAGTGAAAATTGTAATAAAAACAAATAAAAATAGAGCCAAAGTAGGTAAAATAGGCAGTAATTAACAAAGAATTCATTTTGTTGGTTCGCCTTCCGTCCAATCTCTGATCCTTGTTTTCTGTTGATGTTATAAGTAGGTAGGAACGTTGCTACGACGCTAAAGGACTATTAATTTGTATACTAGTTTTTTTATTAAAGAAAAACTTGAGAGCATTAGGTCCTATTGAAATTCGCTTGCCTACAAGAAATTAATAGCTTTTTCGAAAAAATAGCAGCGTGCTGATCAATATAAGCGCGCGTAGGCAGGGGCTGTCTAACATTGTCTGCCCGCACCCAAACAATTATTACACAACATGCACTTAAACTCCGTTCGGCCGGTATTGTTGTACTTTAACAGTGGAAATTTGGCCCCATACGTGGCACTTCGGTGACATACAGGTTTTCGTGAATTTAGCGAGTTAAACAAAAATTTTGCCGTGACTGTTCATCTTTTCTTCTTATGGCTGAATTTGTCCATCTTGAATTCAATCCTATTCTGCTGGTCTAGGGTGCTATGCCAATATAGCGGAACATTTAGGGAGCAATATTTCATCGGGTTACGTAATCTCAATTTTGCACAGCTTCGTTTCCTCGCTATTCTTTCGGTCTTTTATATTGAATGGCACTGGATGCCAAAAACTGCGAAGAAACAGTTGACAGCAAAAGGGGTGAGAATCTCTGCCTCAGTTTAGGGAGGTGTTGCTGAGTAGATGAACCGATCTTCATGTAATAGAAAAATCATTCCAAACTACTACTGTTCTCGAGAGAATAAAAAACGTTTGTCGTGGTTTTGAATGCAATGGGTGAACGTCTAACATCACTAGAATTACGCCTGTTCTTGCTTCAATTCGAATTTATTCTTCGTTAAACGTCAAACCATTTGGTTTTTCTTCACTACCGTAATCTTTGTGTTGCCGCGGTTGTATTCACAAGTGGTATTTTCTGTTAATTGTTAGTATTTCTTTGACAGTAATCTCTGAACTCCGTCCCTTCAAAGGCACTAGGCACCATAATTTGGTACTTGGTTTAAAATGGTAGCAGAGGTGCTAGATGGTGGAAAATGGCGGAAAAAGCGAAGTGATATGGTCAAAAACTTGTAAAAAAGCCAGAAAGCAATTTCGGACAAGTTTCCCGTTGGCGTCGTACCAATCGCTACGGGATACGGCTGCATGTGCTCTATTAATGCAGCACCGCAGCCGCTCCATATCAATCGCTTGGCTTCATATTGTACTTCGTAAATGAAGCGATACGAGCACAAGCATCACTCGGACATTTGTGTGCGGGTGTACGCGAATGGCGTGTGGGTCGGTATGTTGCAGCACGATGGGGTACTATAAGGGTATGTTCCTTGGAAAAAGCGCCACGCTATGCTTGCTCAAGGGTCGAATTCTGTCCTGCTAGACGCATTGATCCTAACGTCTTAGGAATTTGTTGTGCCTCTAAGCTCAGTAAAAATCTTATGTCATTGCTATTTAAATGTGAAGTCTTATCTTGATGATGAGCTAGACGACCATTAGGGAGCGTAAGCTGATCAGAGGGAGCAGAATATTAAAAAGGGGCTCTCTCGTAAAACATCGCAGTGGAGATGGATTTTTCCCGAGTCCAGAAGCAGAAGAGCTCTAGCGTAGGTTAATTTATTTCTTTGTGGAAAAACGGTTACAGTAATCCCAGTTTTGCACGAAAAGTCTTTCAAATGCCCTAGCTCTTCCAATTGCAAAACAGATGTGAACTATCTGAATTTTGACAACGTCTAGCTATGATACTCTACGAGATTGTCAGCACTTGTGGTCCATTCAATTATGTTTTACTGAATTGCAGATTGTGTGAATAAGAGAAGCTCATCTATCGATCTGCTCGCTTTATGCCATTTTAACTGGCGGTAGTTTCGTAATGTTCTACCGTGGACCGGTGAATTTGCCGTTCGCTTCTGAAATCCTTATCAATTTGACGTTTCTTCGCAACAGTATCGCGGTGAGTGACACTTCTGTCCACGAACTGTTTTCTTTGACATAATGGTTTCCCCCTCTGTGACATATTGATTCGTATTTCAAGGGATCGCGATGAAGGAGATGCTCGGGGGTTGTTGTGTCTGTGCTGATGAGAACGGTTGGACAGACAATCCACTTATTTACTGTGATGGTCCCGGCTGTGAAGTGGCTGTACATCAAGGTAGTTGAAATTACTGTTATTTATTCGTATTGCCCTTATGTATGTATTTGTCCTTCAACATGAAAAAAGTATCAACATTGTGCTCTCTCGAAGCATCATGAGTATATGAATATGAATGTTGTAAATAACGCATAAATAGGCTCCCAAGATACTTATGGCAGATTTACTTAATGGCACGCCTCGCGTCCACGCCGATTTCGCGCCCCAAAAATACATGGGAGAAGAGCGACCCACTCGCGAGGGGACCATGGCTCCGCCCAGTGACAACCCGAATTTCATTTCTAATAGCTTGCTGGTGGTGCGATCGTTCCCCCCTAACTATTTCCATTTCGAATGGTGAGACAGAGGTGGTAAGAAGAAAGAGCCGGCAGCAACAAGTGAAAACTCGTCTAATCACGCCCTTTCTTCGCCTTAAGCACGTACAAATGCGGTTCGGGGGTTATATATGAAGTATTCGGCGATTTTCATTTCTTTCACTGCTGAATCACTTACTTCTTTTTCGTTGGTGTGGTGTTTTAGCCGCACAACTCATCATTTTTGAACCAGGGGCGTAGGGCGTACCTTTACTATATTTCCCGTGTTCTCAAAAGGTTTTTGCAATGGACATTTTGGGAGCCTATTTGTGTTATTTGGAGAAAATGGTTGTGGGGAAACGGGTGTCTGCCTTTGTCATTCGAGCGTCTTCCAGTTAGATCGTAATATTGCATGAGCAATGTTAAGTTTGAAATTAGTGGTTCATCTATGAGATAGTCTGCACAAGTGTGGTATAAAATAATGGCACAAAGTAAGCAACATAAATAGACACAATATAAATAGAGGCACATTGCATAAGGTAACGGTGCAATGGAATACGGTAGGGGCATTGCCATGACTAAAAAAACATTGGTTGCAATCGATTGCTGCATGCGGCGAAACATTTTATGGCGCATGTCACGTGGTGTTTCACGACAATGAGTGTCCTTTTGCCTAGGCTGCTACGGTATCCAGGAAGTGCCAGAAGGGGAATGGCTGTGTGCCAAATGTCATGTTGCTGCTACCACTTACACAAATGGGGAACTGAATCGCAATGGTTCTTCGAATGGAGTGGGTCATAGCATAAAGGCCCGTTGTGAGTTGTGCCCGTTCAGCTACGGAGCGCTGAAACGGACCGAGCAAAAGGGTACGTTTTTACAGTAATGTGATTTTGTAGTGAAATATTCTGCGACACTGCGGGAATGATTCCGCTTCATTTAGGTTGGGCTCATGTTATTTGTGCTCTTTATATCCCTGAAGTACGATTTGGTGATGTACATAGCATGGATCCTGTCATTTTGTCGGATGTGCCCATGGAAAGGTAAATTTCATTCGTTCCCGTGATGTTCTGGGAAATTTTTCCCCATTGGGACTGACATTTAAAATTCAGGTTCGAAAAGTTGTGTTATATCTGTGCAAACGCAGGCGATTCAAGGGCTGCTCAGATGGGAGCGTGCATGTCATGCAATAAACCCGGCTGCAAGGTGAGCATCACGCAGGAACGTGTTTTTAGTCTCTTGGGAAAAGCTTGCAGTCATACACGATCTTTCCAGCGAGGGTTTCACGTGACCTGTGCGCAACAACGCGGTTTACTTTGCGAAGAAGGAGGCGGTAGTAAGAATGTAAAGTACTGCGGTTATTGTGAGCACCACCTCCGGAAGGCGGTTCGTTACCTTTCCAATTGCTTTTTCTCGTTTCTCTCAACGTTTTCGTTGTGGTATTGATTGTGTTGCTTGCTGTGGTATTTATCGGCTTGTCCAATGGTTAGCAATCAAGGCGAGGATATTGATTTAATATTATCATATTCTCAAATCTAACAACTGCTTCTGTTAAACATAATAAAGAGGCGGAAATCTTGATATTCTCAGCTTTTTTTTCCTCATTTTGTCGGGGTTCTGCCCAGATTTTCATCGAGATTTGGGCGCTGTGTTCCGCTCGGAAGGGGGAGGGGGAGTATCGCACTTTCGCGGTAGTACCTGTTAACACGTCTCACCCCGTACTGAATTTCACAGGTCTTCAGAGGAAGCATGGACAGTTCTCGATGAGTCAAACTACGTCAAAAAATTTTCTCGTTGTAAACTTGTTTATTAGGTTCGTGTTCAAAGACCCACAAGTCACTCACACCGAAAAGTGCAGTCGAACAGGGAGCTACAAATAAAAATAAGGGAAAAGAAATAAATACAACCCGAGCTGGAACCTTTCAGGAAAATTGGGCGTATAGTACGAGAAGTCGTTTATGTGATGTAAACTATGACATGATAGTATTTGACCCGGGTTTAGTCACAGGGATAGTTCAATCATCTGGACACGAGCGCCAGCGCTACACACCTTCAATCATTGCCTTGAACTTATGCTCAGGAAGAGTGCGACATCTTGAACATGCCTATGAGACCCGCTTGGTAAGAAAGCTCCTGAAACCTAGGCTACAGCGCCGGCGCCAAAACTTGCATTTGCAGAATTTGTGCTTTTATAGCGGGCGCGAGGCAATTGCTCGCTGGACGGACGTGGTGCTTGTGTTGTTTGTGTGAAATCATCTCTCATTTTCACCAACGAGAGCGTTTTGGTCGAATCTCCTGCTGGGAAAATTTTTGATCGAAAGCTGGCGTGAATTTTGAGCAATGAGGCGACAATTGTGCAAACAGTACTAAAATTGCAAGCTGATCCTACAATTCCCAAGTAATCATTCATGGATATTTCGTGATCGTTCCTTTAGAGATAGCGGTGGCATGAACGAAAGCCTATCGTAAATAACAAAAAGTAACAGATGCATAGCTCGGACTCGAAGGGAGTGTGAGAATAGATTGCTTTTCAGATAGGTGGAGCGGATCGCATAAATTTAGCGAAAATGAGTGTGGGAGCAAGACAATTTTCATGTGCCACATAAAGCACCAGCAAACCTGGAAAGCATAGCACCGTTTGAGAGTGTCTCATATGCTTACATACGAGTTTGTGTTCAGTCCGGACTCATGAAGTTTGAAAGAAGCTTTAAAGGCAGTCGGTACAATAAATCCCCAAGGCGGCTAGGATCAATACTCCTGGCAGGATAGAATTCCGCGACCCTGGGCAGGCGCTGCATAGCGGTTTCCCGAGGAAGGTGCCCTTATAAGGGCCCTATCAAGCCACAACTTTACGTCCCAAACGCCCGCCACCCGCCCACAAATGGACGACCGTTCCTGACGCTCGTATTCATTCATTTGCTAAGCAAATTATGAAGCGAAGGGATTGGTATGAAGCGGCCGTGATGCTGCATGCATATATGGGTACATATGCAGCCGTATCTTCGGTAGCGGTGATTGGCATGCCTACGGGAAACTCGTCCGAAATCGATTTACAAGTCACTGAGAACGGAGGCTTTTTCTTCGCAGGATTTTGACCGTTTCACTCCGTTCTTTCGCCATTTCCCCACTATACAGCGCCCTACTAGCATTTTAGGCTAAGTAGGAAACCATCGTGCCAACTGCCTTTAAGTTTGCTAGGTCAGAGCCAGTCTTGTTGAGAGAAAGTGGTTTTCGTATGTTTCAACAGTAGCTCGACTTCTTCACATTCCCACGACACTCCTTATTGACGCGGCGAATCGATATGTGTGTGGGAATCGGGCATCTCCCTGCTTTCGCCTCCAATCTGATTGTTCAGGCAGTTTCTGCGGAGTAGGTTGAAGGTCATTTTTGAAAATTCTTCGCTCTGAACCCAATATTCACGTCACATTACCTTTGCGTGAGTGTAGCTTATGTGGAATGGATGTTTATTTTATTCTAAATTTCTGAACCTCAGTGGTGGCGTAGATCGTCGTTTTTCTTGGTCCTTTGGGCTATATTGACTCTCCTGTTGATTTCTGAATGTACTGATGATTTATGAGAGTGAGCGTTCCTCTACGCGTCAATTAGAGTTCGCTGAATAGTTTGATTTTCTTACGTTGATTACTGACGAACCACTTTGTTCATTCTCGCGGAAGCTCTTGAAATAAGAAAGAACCGAATAGGAGACTAACACAAGTACAAAAGTGTTTATTTCGTATTAGTGACGGAACAGTTTCTCTTGCCTCATTTCACTTATCTTATTGTCTCAAAGCCCAAAATGGCTTACGCACTGTGCAAAGCATGATGGAGTTTTTTTTTATCCGAAATTATATTAACCCCAACTTTTCCTGGGAAATCCACTCAACGTGTTCATATATTTTTTCGTGAGTGGGTCTTCTTCGCGTATTTTTTTGTACTTTCATGTTTACATCGTCATTTCGAAAAAGTGATGGATTACTTTACGAACGAAGAAACTGGAGACTTCAACTAGAAGCATTTTTTTGCTTCGGTATTTTATATCGTTTTTCTTATGTCCGAACAGCATAGCATCATCAGTGCCATTTATTGCCCCTGAATGTTGAGGACTTTCCTACTGGCTGCGAGATGAAATTGATTTGTTCTTCAGCACTTTAAGGCGCTATTCATGCTTGTACAGAGAGAAAAAAAAGACTTTTGCAGCTGTGGGAAATTTTGGCTGCAATTCTGTGAAGCCGTTAGAAGACTGCTTACTTTCAGAGAGCTTGGTTTTTTGAACCTTCCATATTTCTGCACTGACATCAGTTTAGCAGAGTTATCATATTAGCCTTTTGACCTGGCCCTCTTTCTTAACCTTTGTAGTTTTAGAAGATCCTGTTGAGGTCGAGGAGGTTTGGGTTATAGGCCTCAGCAATCACTTGGGTCCTTTTAGTAACTCCTTTCCTGTTGTGTTAGCGATCGACCTCGCTCACGGCGACGGTCATCTGGGTAAGCCCTGTAATACACTCTTTGACCGACCGATATCCCTATCTGATGGTTTACTACGCTAGGGAAATTGCTTTTAGGAGTGTATAGGTACTTCAATGGATCAGTATCGAATGACTTTCCAGGCGAAAAAGCTGAAGGCCGAAATGTAAGCCGATTAAACTTGTAGCAGCCTTGAAGATAATAGATACTGTCCGTTCTGATAACATTAGCAAGCTGAAGCTGTGCGTGTAGCCGTAGAATCGAGAGCTAGAGACGCTTTGAAGGTGTGGTCCTTGGCTGTTTAACGACGGTCATCATTAACGGCAATCAAACGTAGTCGAACCCGTTGAGTAATCGGTCACTACGGGCAGCCACGTGCGACGGTGTGGCGACTTTGCGAGCTGTTGTGTTGAGCGCTGATCGCTTGGCCGTCCAGCCAGTCGGTTGGTCGAGCGTTGATGAGCGCTGAGGCGGTGGCGACGTTTGTTAGCGGCGAAATCGATAGTTCTCCATGGCTGTCCGTCGTCTCTGCTCCGTGGTCGCTGCCGCCGTCATCACAGCCGCTCGTACCCCTCACCGCTGGCTGCTGTCTACATCACACGCCAGCCAGGCCAGGCCAGCCCGCCCAGGCCGCCGACGCGAAGCCTCTTGTGCTGCGTTTCAATGCGTCGTCTCCTCTGTATCGATCGTGCAACCATCTTATTCGCCGTTTTACACTCTTATAGCAGAAACGAATCTCGTTCTCAACGACGACGACGGCGACGATACGCGGCCGCCATCAGTGCTTGTTACTGCGTTATGTTCTTCGATTTTAATGATGATGATTCACATCGCACATCGCTGCACTCTCGAATAAAATAGCGTTTTCGTTCCGCTATATGATCTCTTCCTCCATTTTCTTTGATTATTTTGCCATGCCTGATTTATACATGAATTTGACGTTCATTTTCGGCGCTTTTATGTGCCTTTTTAACTTTATCCAAGCGATTTTTCGTTTTAAAGCATTCTGACCAGTTGGGTTGTCTGACCAGTTTGTCTTTTGAGGTCTTTATTTTCGACTGTGAGTACGGCAGAGTTCTCTTTCTCGAGGTGTCAAGTACTAGCTATGGCAACGAATCGATAAGTTGACGCTGTCGTAAAAGCGCCGATGCGATAAGGGAGATATACGTGTGTGGAATTGAGAGTAGGAGCAGGAGCAGCAACAACAGGGCCAGTAGGTGTTGTGCATTAATGGCTTGACTAGCCGGCTAGCAAGCTACCCATTCCCATTCAAATATTTTTTTAGAGGGACTTTCCTGAGTCGATTGCTTGCGTTCTTTTGAAACAACCTATTTTTAGTGGTTTTGTGCCTTAACTCGGCTCGATTAGGCCCGCCCATGTATGTTCTATGGATCTGATCACCAATGCTTGTGGCCGAGTTCGATTGAAGTTTAACATACGAATCTTGTCGTACGAACGCTATCTCGTGGCCCGGTGATGGTTGTGTGTGGTGATGGCGTCGTCGGTTCGATTTGCGCCGATAAATCGGTCATCCTCGTGTAGGGGCAGTGTGCGTGCGTTTGTCAAAGTCTATCTGAAAATTGAATGATGCTCCTGCACACTCTTGCCGACCGATCACGGCCACATTTTACGATCGGAGGGGGCACACGGTAGACTTTGTTGATCGATCGATCGAGGGCTGATTGACTGGGCTGGTCTTTGCCGCTGGTGTGGTGGCCCAGCGCGAGTTGACACGCCGAGTTTGTTTTGTTGTGTTGGTTGATGTGCATCGCATTCGTGGTGTTTGCGCTTATCTGCTCACACTTACTCAACGATCCCCCCCCCAGTCACCCTTCATTTCGCGTTCTTCTTTTTTGTTATCGTGCGGTCAATTTCATCTCATCGTCGGCGATTTGTCGCTTTTCTGGATGTCACTTTTCAGTGTCACTTTTTACACACCGCTTCGCTATGATGACGGTCTGACAATTTGTTTTTTGTGGATTCATGTAATGAAATGGCTTGTCGTTTCTAACTATCAAATAATGTTATTTTGGCCATCATGAAATCTGATGGTTTGGACTGCTTCTTCCGAATCGATACCCCCTCCAGATCGATTTACCTTGGTTTACTCGCACGTTCTCTTCGATGTATGCACAGCCGTGGATTTTGGAATCGTTTTTGTAATGTTGTATCATTGCTGGTTCGAATTTGATTGCAGTGCTTCCAAACAAGCGGAGGTGTGATACAACGGTCGTATCCGGTCGCTAAAAGAAGGGGGTATTTGCTTTCGAAAAATTTCACTGGTATTTGGCTTTTGTTTTTTTTTTCTCCTTTTTATGAGCGCCACCCCCTCTCGGACAGTTTTTCTTGGGGAAAGCAAGAGAGTTTCGAGAAAAGAACTGCTGAAAGGTAGTAGGATGTTGGAAGGATCTAGAAAGTTGGTAGGTAGGATGGGGGATGGGGATTAGTGGGTCACTCTGGGAGGTAGGATGGGGATCGGAGGTCACTCTTGGAGGTGGGATAGCGATGGAGATAGGCATCGCTCCAGAGGAAAAAATTTAGGGCATTCGTATCTTGGAAAATTTTCCCCAACGGCAGGACGTGCCCTGTCGGCCATAGGTGTGCCACCCTCGCACGCACACTCCGAGTCAATCGCGCCTATTAAGCCTTCCATTCTTCGGGATCCAGCAAATCGCTACTATACTCGTCTAGGGGGATAAAAACTCCGGCTAGGATAGCGGCTGGCTTAGCAACTCATTGTGCAGGTCATCTTAGCTCTGAAAGGTAGTGGAGTGCACGGCCTAGTCTTAAAATAAGACTGATAAGCACCGAAAGCTTTATCGTTTATCCTTTGGAACCAAGAAAAGCATTCTGGGAATGCTCCTGACCTCATTTTACATGGCGAACAATAAGGCTCATTTTGTGATGTTCAAATTGATAGAGCAACCTCCTCAGTGCTTATATGGAACGGCCTAGCGTTAGTCTTTTTCAAGGCTTCACAAAGGTTTTTGTTGCTATCGATTTTGCTTTCGACATTAAGATTATAATTGCTCTATGTTGGCATCATTACACCGCTGCGGGCATTCGTATGTGCGCAGTTTATGGACTCCATAATTGTGCATTGAGATCTCCGCTCCTGGTACCTGGCTGCTAATGCCACAGCATTCGGGAAAGACTGGATACGCAGATTGCTGAATGGCCTTTGCTAGGCATTTTCGCTTTTTTTTAAGGCAACACATAACAAAGACTTAAGAATTATATTAGGTTGGTTTAATGACATAGGAGTGATTTCCTGGAATAATTTCCGACCGAAAGGATAGGGACAGGGCTGGGGAATTTCAGGCGGGGTTGTATTTGGTCACTGGAGAGAGAGAGAATTTGATTATTGAGTTTCCGTGGCTGCTCCCGTCTCACATACAATATAGTACTACATACCTTTTTCCCGCTTGACGGCAGTTTTTCGAGGAGAAATTGGACTGGAAAATTTCTGGAAAAATGGGGAAAATG